TAGTTCGCTGTGGAGGGTCCTGCCCGCTGTCCCTCTCGCGTTTTGCTGGGGGAAGATGATGTCCAAAATTCAACCCGTGAACCCGCCGCCCCGGGCCAGTACTTTGACAACGCTCTGGGCAACAAGGCCCCTGCTGGCTTCAGCCTCCAAAACCGGTAGTACCGGCAGAGGGATGTATTATTGCTTCTAAACCGCATCGCTTCGCACGTCTCGCCTAACTGCAGAGCTGTTTCTGTACTGCTTCATGTGCATACTCTACATGTTCACCAAGCCGCCAGACGCTACAACAGAATTGCACCTTGTGCAATTCCCTTGGACATCTTCCCTTCTTCCCCATCCTGATTACCAGCTTTCAAAACACATCAATCAAGAACAACTAATCTCAAGGCTCATAATTATCTATTTGTGGAGGATGGTGCAAATCTCCTGAGATCACTTTCAGATCACTAAGTCTGTTAACACTCCTCTTTGGAAGTCTTGGCTAGCTTATAAAGGTATCAACAAGTAGTAATGCCCCCCAATCATACTCACTACGTTCTTTTACCCAGAAGTGTTGGCAAAGAGGTGCAGAATGGCGCTTTTTTTTTTTTCCTCTGAAAATGAGTTGTCATTAAGTTATGAGAGCCTGTGCATTTAAAAGATGAAAATGTCTTAAAGCTGCTTGAACAGAAACGTTTTAAAGGGCAAACCGAGTTACAGTGGGAGCAGCTACTGGAAAGCATATCCCATATCAAAAGGGGCCACTGAGCTTTATAAAATAAAGAATCAGTGCACCACCTTGCTTTTATCTTTGTTCTTTAGTTATAATTATTCTTCTCCAGTTAGTTGAAGTTACTGTGGTTTATTAGAAAGGCATGTCTGGTTTATTGCCTTGCAGGAGACATAATGCTACTAATGCACAGAAGTAAATGCTATTTGAGGTTACGTGCTACAGCCGAGGTAGCCCAACCAGTTGTCACAAACCAGACTGGCCTTTCAGCATAGCAACAACATTAAGTTTCCAGTAAGAGCTGAAATAACATCGTACTTCTCTCCCTTTTGGAACATCAGTGAAACTCTTATCATCACAAGTAGTGCCTTGACTTAACAAACCTGTCTTCCTCTTTGTCCCAGCTGTTCTTTCCTGCAAAATTTTCCTTTTTCCAGGTGTGGTGGTAAAATTACTAACATTTAAGATTTGAGAGGGCGGGCTAAGCAGCTTATCCTAGCTAAAAGAACATTCTTTTCAACTAAAAGCTAACAGTCTATGACTGTTGCCAAGTCTGCACTTCTGAGCTAAGATAATACTGGGTGTGCCGCTCCCATAGGCTCCACCAAGAGCCATCCCTCCATAGTGTCATGTTATCTACTGTTTGATTCCCTCTTAGAATTGTGGCAGTTAGCAAGCTACTTAAACAGCCCATCCCTCCCAGGATGGATACTTGGCTTCGTTAGCATCAAAACTGCTGGTTTTCCTCACCTTTTTCTTTTCTGAAACTGTATATAGGCTGTATCACTTGGCAGATAACAGGGGAGCAGAGACACTGCCTAAATGTTCTCTCACTATGATCAGAGTTAGTAACACCTCTGTCTGACCTGTCCTAAATTGTACTTGCATTATTACACATTTGGAGTCCCCAGACCTCCAACACAGGTTAATAATCACAGGATCTGTTTATCAAAAAGGTCTTCATTAATAAAATCATAATATATACCTAATGTTTATAAAACACACAGCCTTAATTAGAAATATCTTTTAATTTACACTAGACAATAATAGAAAATTATTGAAGCTGTAAAAATCCACTGTCCTGATCAAACAATTAAAAAAAAAAAAACAAACCACCACAGAAATTGATGCCATCCATCAGTAAGCCTTCCGAGAGTCAAGAACAAGTTTCTCCATCTCTTAGAAATTCACAAAAAAAGAAGTCACATCTACATTTCTGCTAAAAAACAGAAACAATGTTGAAAATTTCCAAATCAGGGAGAGGCAATTGGAAGAAACAAATATTTGAGCCACTGGGAAAAGGCTTTTCAGGTTCTTTGGCTCTCACAATACAGGCGTCCTTACCAATACACATGTGGAACAAACCAAAAGGACTACACTGATCTCCAGTCTGAATGCATCTGTGGATGACACAGCACTGGAGTACCCTGTATCCATGACTCCCCTTACTCAGCTGGAAGCTGGATTGGTCCCGAGGGCTGAGAAACAGTCAAAGTTCCCAGGTTTTCTGTTCAGATGAAGGGCTTGAGGGTTAACCTTAATACTGGAAGCTGCGTTTAGTCTGAATGTCATCAAGAATCTGCTGTAATTCCTCATCTTCAAATCGGCCCTCCAGGCTGCAAGATAAGAACGAGGAGGTTTTAGAAATATTCTCCTGCCTGGATTCACTTGAGAGCACTGTAATTTCCTCCTTTCAGCCTCAACACCATCATCATCCGCCTATATGGTACCACCAGGAACTGTCTATAACATTACTCTACAAATACCACTCTAATCCCTATGCAGTGCTGCCTCTTTCAATGACAGAACTCCACCCTTCCCAGACTTTCTGCTAAATAATTTTAAAACTTTTTATCAAAAAGCCAAAGCAGGTCCAGGTTTAAACAGACTTCTAAATGAAGGCTACATAAGCCAGTTCAGTCTTGCTATGAAATCTTAGCATAGAAGGAAGAAACTGTAACACAGATGAATGTTGCATTCCCTCCTCTATCTCAGGCCATGAGGTAACAAATCAAGATATGAAGAATTTACTGCTCCCCCATACATTATCTACAAAACAGTTCATAGGAGCACTGTCATTTGCTCCAACAGAAAAAAAACAAAACACCAAAACAAAACACAAAACCACAGCTGGGTGGGCTAATTTAACATCTTTACACTTAATTCAGTAAATGTTGTCAGAAGTGCCATAGGGACAATTACAAATAGTGCCTCACTGTTAGAATGAATGGGTAGTTAAAGAAAGACCAAGGCCAAAAGGTTTTCCATAAACAGAGCTGGACTGAAGAGAGAGTATCTGTCCATAGCTGGCTTTAGATCACAGGGAAGTATACAGTCTTTTTACGATATGTAAATGCTCACCTAGGAATCAAAGCTTTCGCTTCCTCAGCTGTCTCAGGACACAAGTTAGCCAAACATGCCAATTCAAATTTATGGAGCTTTTTCTGGAGCAGCAAACTGGAAGGAAAGACAACAACTTGATGAAATTACAAGATAGAAATATAAAAGGGAATAAACTAAACCAAATAGATACCTTTTTTCACTCTGCTTTTGGCACTGAAGTCAACATTTTTTCAGGACGGAAGACTCATTATATAATTGCATAGCAAAAAAAAAAAGTCACATCTGTTAACTTCACTTCGCCCTGAATTACTCTACAAAGTCTAGAAAATCCTCCCATTTAATGCAATCAGCTGTTATTCAAATACTGAAAACAAAGCAGTTCGGAAGCTTGACCTAGACAAAGCACCACCCTCCATGAAGAATTATGATTAAATTTCCTGCCTCTTCAGAAAAACAAGATTCAGAATTATTGTACAAATCAGGAAACACCACTAAACTGTACTTTCATAAAACAGCATCAATATTATACACCAAATTCCCCAGTGCAGTCTTATACCCTAACCCTTCCACTCACCTACGGACACTGGCAATGGTTTCACGGTTTTTGAAGCGGCTGAAGCGTGCTGTGTAGTTCAAGGTTTTCATGAAGACTTCTGAAAGCTCCTGCTCGTCTTCTGCACTCTCATTCTGTTGCTTACGATGCTCAAGAAGCATATGTACTTCTGAATTTAGAAGAGTTTCCGCAGTTTCAAATTCTACATTTGAATGAGTGAACACCAGCATTAAAAAAGGTGAAGCATGGATGAAAAAAGTGCACTTACGGAAGTTTTGTATGTAAATATAGCTTTGGGCAATAAAAAATAATGTGTTTCATAGCAATTGTGCAAGCCCTTTCACTAATGATTGGGCAGCACTTCATACTGAAAACACTGATAAAAATTAGACCACTTTGATTGACAATCCAATGTCTTTTGACCACACATTTTACATTTGGAGCCCTAACCTTCTGATTTGTCACATTTTTGCAGTATGTTTTCTTCACCCATTTTTGGCAGAGCTTAAGTAATATATGATTTATTTTAGAACAAAATATTTAGAACTATAATACTAAAAAAAATTCAAAAGTGATGCCTATGGTCTTTGGAAGCCTCTGAGTTGTTAAAGTAAATGTGGATACTGCCGAACGTTTTAAAAAGGCTTAATTTACTTGAAAGATTAATTGAGCTACTGGAATTTTATTATCAGAAAAAAGTTTTAATCAATCTTAATACCCTCCCCCCTTTTTAGCCAACTCTGCATCCCAGGGTGCCCTTCAGCACCGTTTTATAAAAGCAGTAAGATACAGGGCAGTGCTAGAAAGGGACTGGCAACCTTTATTTTGCATGGCGAGGTAAAGTAACTTGGGCTGAACATGGGTAGGCTATAGATTTTAGGGTAAAAACATCCAAAAACCAGTCTTTCAGGACTGTGCTTTTGTTCATAACTCAAAAATGCAGCACGGCGCCCTTTCTCCTTTTCTCTCCTCTTTCAGGGCCACTCTGAGGCATAAGCACAGCTCTGCAATTTATACTGAATAGTTTTCTGGAAAAATACACAGACTGGTAGCGACCTTAGTTACAACTCAGGCTCTGGACAGCCGGTTTCCAAAAAATGCAACACTAGTCTAATGTCAAAAAACATCAATTAAAAAGTAATGGTTATATCAAAAATCAAGAACGTTCTCGCTATAAACTCATACGAAAAATATTTTTTTTGATTCCTGTACACGCACGTAGCGGTCCACATAAGTAAGAACAGCC